ATATAAGATGACAAAAATAGAAAAAAAAGCAACAAAGGTTTAATGACATTAAACAGTTTTAAAGTTGTTCTATTTTCAAGCAATGAAATAATTTAAGGTAGAGTGAAATAAATAATAATATCTATATTGTTTTTTAAATAGAAAAAAATGTAAAAATGTAAAATTTTAAAAAAAGCAAATGGAGGACAAAATTAATGAAATTAAATAATTCAAAGAATGTGAGAGAAGGGAAAAAAGAGAAGAAAAGATTAGACAAATAGCAAATGATGTACCTAAGTGAAACTATATCAGTAATTAAGGTAATTATAAGTGTAGTAAATCAACAAAAGCAAGAGAAATTATAACATCATTTTAAACTAAACAACAGAAATATTAGCTAAGTGATCACAAGAAACATGTATAAATTAAGAATAAAAAATTAAGAACAAAAAAGTTTGAAAGTAAAATTATAGAAAACATTATACCATGCAAACCATAACCAAAAATATATGAAGGAAAAAAAAGAGAACTCTGGAATAGCTATAGGAGACAAATTAGACTTTAAGGTATACAGCATCATTAGAACTATAGAGGTACATTTCACAATAAAACAATTTTAATCAAGAGAAAGATATCAAAGCCTTCAATCTGTGTGCATCCAATAGCATGGTTTCAAATTGCATCTAAGAAAAATCAGAGGAAAAAAAGAAATGGAAACTTCCACTATCATCTTGGAAGCCTTTAACATCTCTCTCAGTAACAGACAAACAAAAATTCTATAAGGATATAGAAAATTGGAACGGTACAAGGAATAAACTGGAATGAAATTTACATATATAGAACACTAACCAAGCAGCTGCAAAATTTACCTTATTTTAAAGTGATTAGGAACAGTTATCAAAATCAAATATATACTGGCATTTTAAAGAAATGCTCAGAATGTTTCAAAAGATATGCCTGCAACCATAATAAAATGACCCAGATATCATTTTCAAAAGACACTAGAAAGACCTCAATTCTTCGATAATTAAAAAAAAAAAAAATCCTGCACATTTTGATGGGTCAAGGGTGAAACATTTTTTTCTTTTAATTTGTTTTAAACACAGTTTTAATGATGAAAATACTATACAAATTCATATTTGTTCTCATAACAATGAAAATAAAAGAAAACAACAGCTCTCCCCTAAAAATATCACATCAATGCCAATATCTTCAGCAATATTTTCTTTTTCATTAACAGTAGACATTGTCCAAACCAGTTAAACAATTGTGATGTTTACTAACTTTATGGGATATACTGCCATCTATTGAACTTTTAGAGCTTGATCCTCCAGTATTACATGGCACTAAACCAACTGCAGTCACAAGTGAATTTACGTTCTTGGCAATTTGCTATCATTTAAGTTCTGGAGAAAGTTATGTTAGATTAGTCTAACATAATGATAGCAAGTTTCCAAAAACTTAAGCTCACTTGTGGCTGCAGTTGGTGCAATGTAATATTGGAGGATCAAGCCCTAACGGTTGATTCATTGTGATTATTTGGCGTGTGTTATGCTTCTTTCTGTTACTAGATTATTTACCTTACAAGAGGGATCCTCAATATAACAATATAATTCCTTCCGTTTAGGATATAGAAGGTTCGTTTTGTAAACTTTCATGTAAAGTATTGAATTTTATATACATACGGTTTGTGCAGAATAGTAAATGTCTGTGACTTTTTATCTATCCAAGAATAAGTTACGCAACAACCATAACCCAGAATATAGTTTTTAAAATCCAGAATAGGAAATGGCAGAATAAGATAGATGATCTTTAATAAAAGAACTAACACTAGGGAAGTTTATATCTTTAGATAGATGATTTTCTCTAGAAGGAGAAGTGCACATCATTTGTGTACTTTGAGTAGAATTTCAAGCCATAGATGGGCTGATTTGTTTTCTTTCACTATGAGTCTTTTTATTTTGTTTTGTTTTGTTTAAGTGGCTCCTTTTCCAACACCATGTAGCCCAAAGGTTAGCATGAATTTGAATTAAATAGTACCTACCCTTGCAGTTGGGCATGCATTATCCAGTCTCTATATTCCTTTTTCACATTATTGATACTGACAAGCAACCTGTTTCCTTCGAGCCATTTATCTTACTTGTATCCTAAGCTACTGAGTTTGCAACTCTCTAGAGTAGAGACATTGTAAATTATTAGCTCTAATTTACTACCTCTCAAACACTTACTCAAAGCCTATTTACTTCAAGATAAAGTGATAACTAATTACCATGCAATATAACTACCCTAGTCACTTTCTCAAGCACGGTAGATTAACCATGGAGGAAAAAACACTTCGAGAGAATATTTTTTCCAAAATTTGTAGTGGGGGATGTTTATACAAGAGTCAGTTGTAAGAAGTATAACTGTTTCAGACACGTGATGAGAGAAAGAAGTAGAAAGGGCAACTGTAAAAACCTCACATTAAGAGAAACAATTCAACTACTGGTTCCATTTGATGACAGGATATGAACTTTATAGAATTTGAACTGTGTATAGACTTGCACATGTCATGGTATTTTGTGAATACATGTCCTTAAATCATTTCTTTTCTCCAAGCAGTTTACAATACTTCCCCACTAGGTACACAGCTGTTTATTTAATAAGTTGCAATTTATGGATAAATTAAAGAGCACTTCACTACAAGCTACTTTCGTTATGGTGACACCCAACTTTTGCAAAAGCAGCACTGTTTTGTTCAAAAGGAGTGCAAGATAAAGTATCTTTTAAGAAACCCAAAGTGTAAGCTTCTGAATGTGTAGTGCCTCCTTTTCAAAACTCTAAGAACACCTTGAAATGCAGCAGGATTTATATCTGTCAATTGTTCTACCAGAATGTTACTGACTGAAGAAAGATAGAACTCATCAGACACAATGAGTTAACTCAGAGAGTATATGCTTATTCTGTTTGTCAGGTAAAGAGATTATTTTCACTGTACACTGATGCTTCAACACTAACACTATTATTGATCAAAATAATAAAATTAGGAACAAATGTCTCTTTATTATATATCTATATTCATCTATATGAATAATATTCCTTATATCCATCACAATTAAAATGCTCTGTAAACCTCTTAAGTCAGTCTTAATAAACCTGTAAATTTAATAATTATTTTAGGAAGAGATGGAGAAAAAGAGAGAATGGGAGATGTTATATGTACTACAAACTAGCATTTACTGAACCCTATGATGTACAACCTGAGTTTTCCATTAAGGCTACAATACGAATGTACATCTTGAAAATAGTGGTGGTAGAATCTATTTGAAAAAAAGATAGGCAAGTTGGTATCCTAAATTAAAATAAAGTTTATATTCTTCTGAGTCTGCATTATCACTTATTATCTTTTTTTAATCTTCAACTTCAATTGTACCAATCTATGAAGTAATAACATTTACCTCATGGTGATATATGTGTATATGCATATTGTTCGAACTAAGTGATAACATTGATACAAAGATACATCCTAATCTGTAAAATGTTTTAAAATTTTATTTTATTTTATGGCTCAATAAAATATGGACTTACCTGTGATCTATACTTTTTTCATAGAGCAAAGGCCACTTGAACGCACCAAGTAACATTATCTTATCTCTGGCATCAATATTTTAAAATGATTTTTTACTTAACTATGACTATGATTTGCATGTATTTAATAACTATCTTTTAATAATGGTAGTTTGACAGAGTATTTAAATTCAACTAATTAACTCATTAAGAATCAATTATCAAATGCTGGGCACTCACTGGGCTGAACACCTAAGTTTACAAAAACAATTCGATGTCTTCCTATCATAGGATCTCATAAGTGGAAGGGGATCTATGTACCTACAGAAATGAGTCTAACATGAACAAGCATGCAGAAGTGCTGTGCAAGAGGGAAAAAGGAGTGAGTATCTTCTAATTCTGCAACAGGAATTTCAGAGAAACTTGTAACAGGGATTTTAACAAAGTGTTGTGAATAAAGAAAAACTTTAGTTGAAGTAAGGATGTACAAAGTGTTGTATTTTAGGAGGAGGCAGTATTCCATTGTGTCTAGGCCTGAGGTGTACTGCAAATGCTATTAAGAGACAAGAGATAAAGCTGAGAAAGGTGTTTCACGCTGACTTGAGAAGAGCTTTTATGACATATCAAAGCATCTAAGTTATGACAGTTTTTCAACATCATTTGTAAGATGAACATAAGGGACAACTCCTCTGTAGGATATTTCTGATGATTAGTGACTGCCGTATAAAATGTTATCTATGGTATCTTCCATTTTTAAAATACTCAAATATATTATAATTATATCCTTTACATTTGGAACATGTCATAAATACTATCTCCCTCCAAACCTACAGGATTCATATCTCTCCTCTCTCCCCAAATTGCATACTGAATTATGCTTTCTGTTTTCGAGTCTTATATTTTACTCTGAGTCCCCATCTATCATATTAGCTGCAACTTGCTTTTGGATAATGCATGTGTGTGTGTGTGCATGTGTGTGTGTGTGTGCATGTGTGTCTGTGTGCATGTGTGTGTGTGTGCATGTGTGTGCTTGCGTGCATGCGACTTAATTGAGCGTTCATTCATAACATGAAGAGTTTTTTTTTATTTCAGTCACAGAAAGTATATATGGAATAAGGTTGCATGAGAAGAATGTCCACATCAAAATACATTTTCAACATCCCCATGAATACTTTAAGAATACATAGCTACGGCGGCAAAGGCAAGGTGCCAGTTTTTAGTAACACCACATCATTTTTAATACTTAACTTGATGCCAAGTGAAACTCCCACTCTGAATATGTTCCCAGTTATTTCCTAGGTTCAGAAGATAATAGCTGGAGTGTTTTTCATGAGTCTGACATGAAGAACGGTGGCCATATAGCACAAAAACAGAACAATTCTACTTAAGGAAACAGTAACATAACATTGTTCAAGTATTTCATCTTTACATAAAAAGATAATGATACATTCAAATCATGGAAAACAAATACGTACTTTGAGGAAAGCGCGGTGGGTTGTCATTGACATCGGTTAAGGTGATGTTGACTGTTGTAGACCCCGAAAGCCCTCCAACTTGCCCAGCCATGTCTTTGGCTTGAATGACCACCGAGTAATGTTCTCTGGCTTCTCTGTCCATGTTATGTAAGGCCGTTCTAATAACTCCTGGAATAGATATGTTTTAATAAACAGTATGAGCTATATAATAAACAGGTATCAACAAACACACATAGATATTTTAAGAAATGTCTTTCAAAATAGCATATTTGGGGGATACAGCCACACGTCTGAGAAAAACAATACCTTACCAATGCATGAATACTGTCTCTTTGAAAAATTTACTTATTATCCCATGCCTCAAACATCCTATTAAGTAAATTAAGATGCCTATCTCTCTGCATTCCTTAAATAGATGGTCCCTTGGCCCTGACATGGTGGCTCATGCCTGTAATCTCAGTACTTTGGGAGGCCGAAGTGGGCGTGTCACAAGGTCAGGAGTTTGAGACCAGCCTGGCCTATATGGTGAAACCCGTCTCTGCTAAAAATACAAAAAAATTATCCGGGTGTGGTGGCATATGCCTGTAATCCCAGCTACTCAGGAGTCTGAGGCAGGAGAATAGCTTGAACCCGGAAGACGAGGTTGCAGTGAGCGGAGATCATGCCACTGCACTCCAGCCGGGGCGACAGAGTGAGACTCCATCTCAAAAAAAAAAAAAACCCAACAAAAAAAGTACATGGTCCCTCAAGGGCAGTCCTGACACCCTATTCCTAGTGCTAGTGTGCTGAACATTTTACAACTTGAGCTCCTCAGAAGTGTCAACTAAGATGGTCATATTGATTTAAGCAGAGGCTAATTTTCCTCTTTATAGAACAATTGACATAGCTTCCTGGCAGAGTTATCAATGTTTAATGATGGAAAACATTTGAGGAGTTTGGACACTTAAACAGAGATTGTAGGCAGGAGGCATCTTAACATGTATCAAAGACTAAGAAACTCACTATTTTTGTTAGAAAACAACTTTAAGGAGAACTAGATCTAAGTATTTAGGCAAAATAAAGAAAGTGATAAGGTTTATTGTATAAATCATATGTAAAAAACCACATTTTTTATCACAGTAGTGCAAAGAGGGACGTTTAACACACTTTTGCATGATGAACCCTTGGGTTGAATAAATAAATTAAAACTATTAAATACCATTTGTGATTATGCATACATAAACACCCACCTCAACATACATCAATTAAATAGCTCTGTTAATGGAGTCTTACATTTTAAAGCTAAAAACACATTTTCTGGAGGATAACGCTTACTCAGGGGATATTAACTATGCCATAACATAGAATGTTGTCCTCAGGTCCATGAGATAGATTATAAACATGTGTATAAATATATGTATATTTATATGTACATATGTATTTATATGTCCATCTATATATGCCTATAATTATAAAATATAAACAAATTCGATCCTTTAAATATAAGTCATTTTTTCATAAACGTATTTTCATTAAAAATATTTTAATCATGTCATCTTTAATAAATACACCAATGACTTTCAATCAAACTCACACTTGATTAGTTACAGTACAATTCTTAAGAAGTTGTCGATTATAACTGTTACCTATAGGCTTTACCAAATACTTTTATGGACAATATTTTCATTTATGAGAAGAAAGGAGTTATATATTTATGATAAAATAGCCTTTTAAAAGCAGAAAGGAGTATTCAATGACTTGTTTTTTCACTTATTTTGAACATAAAAAAGTAAATCACTATTTTCTTTTTTTATTGAATTGATTGGCTATGTAATAATGACTTTGAGAGGAGAGCCTCAAATATCAGAAGAGAAGACCCCATAACTTTCACATATTGTGAATATATACTTGAGGGAATTCAGAAAATCTTTCCTGAAGCTAAATAGAAATGAAAATTATTCTTATCAAAAGAAATTATAATAATATGATAATAAATGATTCATCTAACTCATGCATATGAAAAAGCCTCAAGCACCCTTATTAAAAAAACAATGTTTTATCATGTGATAATTACATTAGTAGGAACTGAATTGATACAGAAATGAACAAGCAAATAATTTATGAAATTGTTTTATGAAAGAAATTTATATTTTCTACTACTTGAAAAAAGTAAAGCTGTCTTTCCTAAGGAGAATTAATTATAAATGGGACTTGTTTTTGGTGGGGAGAAATATGAGATTATTGTCAAAGATAAAGATTTACAATAAAATTATTAGTGAGTTTTGCAAAATAGATATATAAAGGTAAAACTAAGTATTATGAAGTGAATGACACAAATCTACAACCACTTCCAGGATGAAATGGGAAGAAACTTGCCAGCCAAATTTGCTCCTGAATAGAAAAGACCATATCCAAAAAGGACCCACACTTCTCTGAAAGGATCGTCTCGGGATTAATTTAAAATCACAACTCTCGGTTGGGCGCGGCGGCTCAGGCTTGTAATCCCAGCACTTTGGGAGGCCGAGGTAGGCAGATCACGAGGTCAGGAGATCGAGACCATCCTGGCTAATATGGTGAAAGCCTGTCTCTACTAAAAATACAAAAAATTAGCCGGGCGTGGTGGCGGGCACCTGTAGTCCCAGCTAGTCGGGAGGCTGAGGCAAGAGAATTGCTTGAACTTCTTGGGAGGTGGAGGTTGCAGTGAGCCAGATTGCACCACTACACTCCACCCTGGGTGACAGAGACTCCATCTCAAAACAAAACAAAAAACAAACAAACAAACAAACAAAACACAACTCTCTTGAGGATGGCCCAACTGCATGTGCTTAACTATGACCCCTGCTGGAGACATATAGATAATCAGAAAGTGTTAGAGTCAAATTGCCATAGCAACATGATTTCAGTAAAGGATGATCACTTTCTAACCCGGAGCCCAGATGCATTTTCTGGGATAACCTAAAGTACAACTGATACACAGTAACTTCTTATTTTTCCTTTTAAATAGACTCTATTTAGAGCAGTCTGAGGTCCTTTCACAGTAAAATTGAGCAGAAAATACAAAGAATTCCCATATACCCTTTACCTCCTCCATGAGCACAGCCTCCCCACTAACAGTGTTCTATACCAGAATGGTACATTTGCTACTATTGACGAACCTACATCGACACATCTTTATGATCCAAAGTCCAGAGTTTACAATAGGGTTTACACTTGGTGTTTCATATTCTATGGGTTTTGACAGCTATGATGACATTAAACTACTTCATAGTACCAAAAGAATAGTTTCACTGCTCTAAAAATTGTCTCTTCTCTACCATTTATCCCTCTCCTACCCCAGCCCCTGGCAACCACTAATCTTTTTACTGCCTTCATAGTTCTGCCTATTCCAAATATCATGCAACTGGAATCATGCAGTTAGCCTTTCAGATTGGTTTCTTTTACTTAGTCATATGCATTTAAGGTTTCTTTATGTCTTTTCACAGCATGGTAGCTCATTTCCTTTTAACTCTGACTAATATTCCATTATCTGGATGGATCACAATTTATTTTATTTACTCACTTACTGAAGGCCATCTACTTGCTTCCGAGTTTCAGTGATTAGGAAGAAAACTGCATAAAACATCTACATATGGGTTTTTGTATAAACCCAAATTTTCAACTCATTTGGGTAAACACAAATAAGTGTGGTTTCTGGATTGTATAATGAATTTACCTGAAATTGTGAACAATGTTGAAATAAGTTAGGGGAAAATGGCAAACATTTATATCTTACCAATATTGTGATTAAAAAGAATTAATTAAATTCAAGAGTAATTCACAGCCTATGTTCCATTCTCAATGCTTAGCATAATAGCTGTCTTTTGTTAACAGAATAAAATATATATTATGAGTACACATACACCTACACCCTCACCACACAGATATATATATTGATTAACCCCCACCCAAATTTTATGCACGAAGCTACATTTGAACATAGTGAAAACATCAAGCAGAATGATTGTTTTAATAAAAAATGGGTTAAATGTGAAGCTATACAGGCAAAATGATCATACGTAATGGTATTCTCAGGAAATGTTCAGACTACCTTGCCCTAGCTTAACTTTTCCAATGCTCCCTTTCATTTAAAACAGTGTGGCAGTTTGGACGATCAATTATTTTGTCACTCTAATTTTTAGAATATTGCTATTGGTTTTCAAACTTCTGTTTAAAATTATCCTGAAGTTTCCTCAATGATCAAATTGCTTGTATTCAGTCCCCAGAAATTTTGATTTAGTAATCTGAAGTGGGACTGGCTTGCACATATCTCCAATAGACTATTGTATTAAACCGCTCAGACTGCCAGAACAAAATACCATAAGCTCGGTGGTTTTAAAAACAGAGATTTATTTCTCGCACTTCCAGAAGCTAGAAAGTCCAAGATCGAGGTACCGGATGATTTTATTCCTGGTGAGGTGTCTCTGCATGGCTTGCATATGGCCACTTTCTTACAGTGTCCTCACATTCAGTGCTTCTTTGCAAGCACTGAGAAGAGGATGGGGAATCTCTTTTTTTTTTTTTTTTTTTAATTTTTTTAAGCCACTATTTTCATCATGAAGGTCTCTTCCTCATGACCTAATCTAAGCCTACCTACATTCCAAAGGCCTCATCTGCAAATACCATCCTATTTGGGGTTAGGAATTTAACTTATGAGCTCTAAGGGGGTCAGACACAAATACTCAGTTTTTTTTATGTGCAGGTGGTTCAAGACCATATGCTGAATAGACAACAATTAAAAAGGCAAAGTCCTGCCATTATGTTTCCAAGCATTTCTTCACACTTTATCTTCATCATGTCATGCCAACAAATATATGTGTATGGGGATCACATAGGCACATGACATACAAAAGTGAAGTGCATTTTACTCAATTGTAAAAGCTAAGCCAATGGATAAAGATATAATAAATTACATATACATAGTCCAAGTAAGAAAATATGTTTTATTTGTTTGGCGGCCATTTCTCTCATGAGTTCATGTATCCAGTAATTGCAAAATAATTTACTCTTGTCTTTGATAAAGTCTTACTACGGGAACACTGTGTAGCCTTTTCATTTAGTACATTTTTAAAGCCAAAAATACAGAGCAGCGAAATTAATTTCCATAAATTACTGCATTGCTCATTTGTTTAAAAATAAAGAAAAAGCTCCTC